ATTTGACGTAACATCACAAGGACTGTGCATTGTCATTGCTGACTTTTCAAAGATTATTGCTATTATTTTGCAGCGTTCTGTTTTCCGTACCATTTTAATGTATGGCTTCCACTTTGCTGTTATGATACTGTGTCAAGTTAAAGGTGTCAAGGACACTCAGGTAATTGTCTTTTAAATCACCGTCTGACCCTGACCCTTCATATAGTTAGTATATGATGAGTGTTTTTAGATTTCTGCAAAGGAATTAGAAAATGTAAGTGAATACAAATGCAACAGCACAGGGTTTTTCCATTGACACTAGAATTATTTACATTGTTTTAGTCATGTTTTGTTATACTCACCATATATGGTCATCCACTCACCGTGTATGGTCATCTGCCCACCATATATGGTCATCCACTCACCATGTATGGTCATCCACTCACCATATATGGTCATCCACCCACCATATATGGCCATCCACTCACCATATATGGCCGTCCACCCACCATATATGGCCATCCACTCACCATGTATGGTCATCCACTCACCATGAATGGTCATCCACTCACCATATATGGTCATCCACCCACCATATATGGTTATCCACCCACCATATATGGTCATCCACTCACCATATATGGTCATCCACCCACCATATATGGTTATCCACCCACCATATATGGTTATCCACCCACCATATATGGTTATCCACCCACCATATATGGCCATCCACCCACCATATATGGCCATCCACCCACCATATATATGGCCATCCACCCACCATATATGGCCATCCACTCACCATATATGGCCATCCACTCACCATATATGGCCATCCACTCACCATATACGGTCATCCTCTCACCATATATGGCCATCCACTCACCATATATGGCCATCCACTCCGTATATGGTCATCCACTCACCGTATATGGTCATCCACTCACCATATATGGTCATTCACTCACCATATATGGCCATCCACTTACCGTATAATTACTTTTGTTTTGTTTCAGTGTGGTTTCAAATTATTCAGCCGTGAAGCGGCATTTCGAACATTTTACAACCTTCATGTTGAGAGATGGTGAGTAAAAAACTCAGGGTGATACATCAAGATTTCTTCATTTGCATATTTGACCAGCATGATTTGCAGATAAAACTTTAATGCTGACTCTATGGTTGCCATGACACTAACCTTTCATTTGTTGTCTGAAAACTTCAAGTTATCACCAACAATTTTTATTAGCTCCGCTGTTGACTTAATTTCTTGATGATATTTTCAATTCACTAATTTTGATGAATATTTTTGTCATTTTGGGTAAAAAAGTGATATTTTCGACTTCTTGTTAAAAAACGTTTGATTGCTTTGATACATATAGGTAGACCTCTCTCAGATTTGTTCATTTCCCAACTGACAAGTTTTGTCCTTGTTCTGGGGTAAGTTTGATGGTGTAAGATCGGATTCTCGCATCGTTTTTGTGACACGTACATGATATGCCTTGTCTCAACTCCGGCCGAAAGAAAAGACTTTGTGAGCAGTCACTCTAATACAGAGGTTGGTGTACACTCGGCACAAATCTGCAGCTTTCAAAATCATCATCTCCTGTAATTTATTCACCCATAGTGGAGAATTACAATACCATATATCGTCGTCCAATTCTGCGTTGTCCCGTGTTCTTTGAAACAGACGACAATTACCCGGGTGCAATTTCAATGCAATTTTGAACGCCGCTACGGGACACCGGTTGTTATTGGTGGCATACATTTTTGCCAGTGACTCATAGTTTTTTGCATTTTTTTTTGTCCTTCAATCTCATCTAGTACTTAAAGATCATGTTTTCTTTGTTGGAGGTTCACAATCCATCTCAAAGTCACAACACAGAGAACACAGCATTCTGGCATTCGTTTAGGCGGTGGTTTAGGTTTGTGTGACAAACGACAATCACCTAACGACCGACGCTCACAACTTGGATCCCACTATTAACAAAAAGCAATATTATGGTTATATAACTTTTCAGATGTTTTTAATTCACTATTTTTTTCAATATTCTTTCAAAATTCAACCACTATATTTCTCTAAAAATCAAATAATACCGGTTTTATGTATTTCGGTATTAAACCTGCAAATTTTGTGTTTGGACCAATCAAATCAATGGATTATACCGGTATAATATAATTTGAGATAATCCTAGTAATTCATAACCATTTAGATTGTGATACAACTTTTTCTGCTACTGATATATCATATTACTGTAAAGGGGTTAATTATTCACCAGGCTTTAATTTTGCTTATTTCGCTGACTGGAAAATGCGCTAAATTAAAACCCAGTGAATATGTAAAATTTAGCATAGAACACATTATCTAAATGATAAAACTGTAAATTTAAAACCCACTGAATATGCCTGAAATGGTAAATCAGCCAAATTTAAACCCAGGGAAAATTAGTTACTTTACAGTAGTATCTGCACGGAAATAATAGAGATTTAGAGATATATCAGTTATACAATAAATGTTATTTTTGATAAGACACTCTTTTATTGTATATTTTACATTCAACTCATCAAAAATTAATGAAAATAAGCTCCATGCAAAACACTCAAACGTCTTTTTAGTGAAATTAATTCCAGCTAAAATAAAGCATTTCACAGTATTACAGAGATATACTTCTAAATATGATGTTTGATCCTGCGAAGATATTAACTGGGTTTTTAAGTATTCATGGAGGAAGCAGTGTATTATAATCCTATCATTTTAATTTAATACATTTACATATTTATCAGTTTAATGTATTGCTACATTGTCTCCTACTGGTTACTTGCAGGGCGTTTGATGTTGAGCTTTTATACATAGCAGAACAGTTGGGCATTTCTCCCGTAGAGGTGGCAGTTAATTGGACAGAAATTGACGGTGAGGGTTTCCTTTTATTATAGTGTTCATGAGTACGGGCTAAGATTTCAGCTCATATGTTGGATAGACCCAATTGCGTTCATGCACGGGAGGGACAGTGGTTAGCAAAGCTAAGGAATACCCAAACTATTATCTTCAGTCAATTTAAATTCATCTTTAATTTGGCATGATATTCACAGGTGTAAATTGTACACTAATTAGAGACTTTATGGTCGTCATTATTTTAGGTCCATTTTATAGTCACATCCAGATTTACTCACTTAAATTTTTCTGCACCTTTTCTCTAAATTTCTTCAATATTTCTGGCAATGAACCCCAATTTTGGAACCAACAGACAAAATTTGAGTCAATTTTCAGTTTTTACTCAATCTTCTGAAGGAAAGTGCAGACTATAAAGGGGACTATTTTGTGAATTTGTGATGAAAAGAGGAAATTGGTGGTGAAAAGTGTAACCCTTTGAGCGCCAAGGTCAACTTCATTCACCGGTATAGTCTCCTCTTTTCCACGTAAAATGTTGACGAAAATGTAAAAAAACACTATAAGTAGTGAAAATGAAGAAAATATCAACAAATTCATGCCATTTTTTAGTGGGAAACTTTTTTTTTGTTCAAATGGGTAACATGATTATGTAAGGGTTGGTTGCAGTTTGTATTATGGTAAATTGTGAATGTTTTACTTCCAGGTTCCAAGATGATTCCCGTCTGGAGTTGGATTCAAATGGGTAAAGATCTACTTCTCATACGACTACGCTATTTAATTGGTGTCTGGAAAATTGATAGAACGATTAAATCATAGTAATTAAATATAGGTAAGTAACAACTTTATGAAAGGAATTTTTGAAAAAAGGATTAACTTTTGATTTGGCAATCTGCTGTCTTAGGTATGTAAGCAGTGGAAAAACTTCTCCATACTGAATATTTATAACATTCTCTAATCTTGACTACAAGATGGCGCTGTGTATAACTGTGAGGTTATGTCTGTCTGTCTGTCTGTCTGTCTGTCTGTCTGTCTGTCTGTCTGTCTGTCTGTCTGTCTGTCTGTCTGTCTGTCTGTCTGTCTGTTTTTGGTTTAATTTGACTGTTCCACTGATATCTACAGAACCACTAATTGATTTTGATGAAACTTGGTACATAAATGCTCTGGACTAATGCACAGATTTGATTACTGTAAAATCTGTATTAGAAGCCGCGGCTTCTATTAAAATGGTACAATGCAACAGAGGGGATGCGCCTTCTATTAGAGCATGTACACATATGAGAAATGATGAATTTTTTATTCTAAATTATTCAAAAAGAATGGGTGCGACTTCTATTAGGGATGCGGCTTCTAATACAGATTTTACGGTAGTTTTGGGTAAAATCCATGCATACAAATTACATAATTTGCACAAAGATTAAAGTAAATTTTGAGTACTAATCATCACATTTCAGTGAAACTTAGTACATAGATATCTTAGGACAATGGATAGACCTGATAAGTTAATATCTGTGTATATTAATTACCCAATTTGTATAATTAACCAATTTTCTAACTAATCATGAGACCTGATTAGTTTTGGATACAAATTTGTATATATTAATCACCTCATTTGCATAATTAGCCAATTTTCAGCTTTCGCACTGATATCACAAGTACTAATTATTTCATTTCAATGAAACTTTGTACATAGGTGCTCTAGAACAATGCACAGACCTGCTAAGTTTTGGGTTAAAATCAGTTCAAATTAATTATCTAATTTGTATAATAATTCATAATTTTTTGGTTCTAATCACATTTCAATGAAACGTTGTACATATATACTCCAATCCAATGTGAGGATCTAATTAGTTTTGGGTTTATATACATTCTTAATAATAACCTAATTTGTGTAATAATTAACTTTTCTAGTTTCCACTAATTCAGTTAGGATTAATCATCACATTATAATGAAACTTGGTACATGTGCACCCTGAAACAATATAACAATATTGCCTAATTTGTATAATAATTCATTTGGTTCTTTGGGGTAAATTCAAAGACATGATTAGTTTAATGTTGAAAACATGCATATTGATTATCTATTATTTATAGTCCCTTTCTGATATCTAAAAAAATCAGATTTAAATTGAATTCACCAGAGGTGCTCTAGAATTAATGAGACTGAAAACCATGGATGAAAATTAAAATGTATTTTCTGTATGTATTATAAATTTTAATAATGTGAATCACATTGTTTCATGTTATGCATCTCAATGCACACAAATATTAGTTGCTAAGCTTCTCGTTTGAAAAGCAAATTATAAATTTTGAATTAATTTTAATGTGTCTCCAATACTCTCAGAACACAGGAGTTTTTTCTAAGTTTTCTTAGATATATGTTGTCTTTAAATTGTTCTTGTTGATGTGAAACATTAAAAAAATGAAATAAGGTGTGAAATTTTTGTTTTCAAATGAACAATAAAAATTTTCATATATCTGAATGAAACAGTTAATTATGGACGAATTTTAAAACAAAATATTGTCACTGCTGTGTGCACCAAATTATGCTGACATAACTCACGAATATCTATTGTTATCTCATTCTATTGTTACCTCATCCTTTCAAAAATTGTGAAATTGGAGTACCATATTAATTCTTAATTCATAACATACTTTCTTTCCTTCAATTTCAGATAAATATCTTTTATTTTCTTATAAATTCCGACCATTTGTGGAAGATACTGTGACACTAAACTGAAATATCAACATAAGGAAAACTCCAGTTATATTTTTTTTTCAGTTTTGTTATTTTTAATAAAACTATGCATTTTTGTTTGCATTATATGTTATAAATGATACACAGTATGTGATTGGTTAAGAGTCATGTGATGTGGTTCCTGGCAAATCTGCAATGCATTGTGGGAGATATTATCAACCGCATGTTGTTATATCAGCAATTGATTCATGTAAATGAATGCATTTCTAAATAAAGCAATACCAATTCATTACTTTCTATATTTTCTTCAACATCAGTGTTGTTTTCTTTTCTTGTGACTTTTTTGAAGTTTCCAAAATCTATAAATAATTACAATCACCATTATCATTTTTTTTATCCTGCATTTTTCTTTGAATATGTGAAATGAGAAATATTGTTGATTTACCTTTTCACCACCAGTACCCTCTTTCATCACAAATTCACAAAATTGACATGTTTTGTTGTCTGCACTTTCCTTCAGAAAATTGGTACAAAATGAGCCAAATTTTGTGTGTAAAAACTGAAAATTTACTCAAATTTTGTGTGTTGGCTCCAAAATTAGGGTTCATTTCCAGAGATATTAAAGAATATAAGAAAAGAGTGCAGACAAATTTGGGCGAGAAAATCTGGTAAGGTTTTGTCAATATTCTGCATCCCACAAATAACAGATTACATGTATATAAATTTATTAATTAATAAAGTATAATAAAAAAAATGTGCTTCCATGTTATATGCATCTCAGCTGTATTCTATGGTTATCTAATAAACACTAGTGCAATTATTGTAGTTTTTCAAGGAGATATTATTTTATGCTGTTTTTACAAAAGCTGATTAAACATCAAGAATATTGGCTCAGTTTAAATAAAATATAAATTGGAAAAAAGCAGCTAATGATCTTTTATTACTATTCACTTGTGAATAACATGACCAATGACAGTGAAGTGTGTTCATTTCACATGTATACAGCAAATCTGAATTCACATCTTTGGTTATCTATCGCTGCATTTCATCTTAACTTCTCAAGCTGTGTAGGAACTCACTATGCAAAGCCTCAACCATGCTTGATACAACAATTGAACATGTTTGATTGCACACACTGTCCTAGGTTAATTCTGTCAAAATAAAACATAGTTGAGTTGTCCATATATCAACACTTTCTCCAGATCTTTACCAACTCAATTTATTCCAATCATTAAAAAATTTAAGTATTTCGTCCATCACAGTCACTATTTGGAAATGGCTTTCACTTTCATTTGTAACATGATACTATACATACTATTCACTCATAATCTTCTGTGCCTTGTTCTATGCATACCCATATATGGATGTGCATACCATATATGGATGTGCATACCATAATTGGTGTTGTGATAAAGCCCACATTAGGAAGCATAGCGTAATGATCGTGGGAGGATTGGAGGATGCATATGCCAAAAAATATGATAATACATACATTTTTGAATTTTATTTTATTCTCTGTTTCCCCCTCGAACATCTCTGTAGCTGCTCTATCATAAGGATATTCGTTTACAATATTATTAAATATGAATGCATGCATTTTTAGCCAGTATTTTCTGCACAAAACATTTACATATATTATTGATATTTCAGCACAATGTGCTAGACTTGACTATTTGTTTTAGCTACATAAGTAAAAGTTTCAGTTGGGAACAGAAAGACAAACAAATGTTTGTGATGATGTCATACTAACAAAAATAGCTTTAGGGGTCACGGGAAGGGTATATTTGTCAATCCCAGAAGTTTGAAACTAAAGGGTGGCGGTGGTTGTCCGCAGCGCGTGTTTTCACGTAGACAATGTATTTTACACGCATTGTGTACGTCACTGTGAAAAGAAAGATGAGGGCTCGACACGACCACCGCCCTTTAACATAATTGCGACTGAATCAAGTATGTACTTGTTACAGAGTAAATGCAGTAACATTTCAGTATAATTATGAAAAATGTCTAATTTCACTGAGGAATGTACGTTTCATAACCTGTTTTCAGCGTGGGGTGTCTTCCTTATGGTTATTGATTATGATAAGATAAGATAAAGGTTACGCATTTCAAACATTCAGCACAGCATCTCTTGCCAGATTGTGAGTCAATGCAAATCACTTTACAAGCTTTTGATTGGTTGGCTATGCAACCCTAACATCTAAAATTCCGACCAATCAGAGAGCAGCTTATTATTTTTTTTTTGACGTATCCAATTTTGCCTTGTACATATATGCTTCACCTCAACTGGAAATTATCAGCAGTGCTGCCGCTTTATACGCTGCCTTCTATATAATTTATTATTATAGTTTTGCGCGTTTGGCTTTATTTTGAAAAATTGCGGTTTAAAATACGATATGAAATGAAAACAATTGTGATTTTAAATGATTTTTCTGTTGACAAAGTTTAGCCCTACTACGGCATTTATAGAAACCGAGCAAACTCGGTATGGAAGTTTAATTTTCTCTAGCAAAAAACAAAAGCAAAATCAGACCATACTGTGAGAGGCACAACACACGAGATGCATCTAATTAAAAAGGTTTGAGCCGAATTTAGGATCGTATGTAATACTGTAAAAACAGTCCCTCGGGGGGATTAACACCTTAGAACAAAGGCGTTTCCCAACCGGGTGTTGATACCGTGTGTAAAATTACAAAAATTAGGTTCGTGGGAACTTAATTTTTATATTGGTTTCCATGGTAAAATGAATTATTCTTGAATTTTGCCCGGTGACATGGAATAAAAGTCTATAATATTATTGATAAGAATTCTAATTATTAAAAATGTAAATTTGGCTGCAAGACAATTTGTTGTTCTATTGTATTCACAAATATAAGTCATTTCATGTACTAACTGAAAAAAAAAAAAAAAACATGACAAATTTACCAACAAATGTACTGTATATATCTTAATTTTTGCTTATTTCACCGATAGCTACTAAATATGCTAATTAGTAGGGAATACTCAAATACATTGCCTGTTGATTGGGTTGTTTCTTTCAAACATCAAAACTAGACTCGATTGCTAATCTCTGGTTCTGTTTGTTATAATTCCCTGAACGGTACTTGTTATTATATGCATAGACAAGCGGCTTGGGTCACAGTATCGCAGTGGTTGGAATCTACAAATCTGCTAAACCCAATAACCCGGCGAATATATATATATATATACCCGTTTTGTCGTACCCACTTTTGCGACACATGGGAATAGCAACCCTAGCAGAAATAAATGGCTGCCCCTAAATAACGAACGTTTTAAGACTTGCATCGAAGTATGTATCCAATCAGCTGACTTACTGGAGTTTTTTTCTGTGCATATATGTTTTTACTCATCTATAAGCATGCAAACAAAAAAATATCTTACTGTGGCCTGAAACATTGATAAGAAAAGTGACATCTGTCAAATTGGAAATGAACACAATAATGTGTATATAATAGATGTCTGTCAACGGAAAAGTAATATTTAAATGTAAAGGTTAATAGGTATGAGTCAGCCGGGAAAGCAGCAAATATTCTGACGAGTTTATTCTTTAGTCAATCAGGCTTGTTCCGACTGAAATTAAATTTCTGTAGCTATCTATTTGTACAGTTTTTCACGATGGGCGGAAATGCAATGAATATTGTTTAACAATAAACGTGCGTGATATAACAATAATACGTGACATACACTTGACATGTGACCTGTGATGTCATTATATATAATGATGGAAACTGTCATGTGTTAAATGGTAGGGATGGCTAGGTTGAGAATACGTTGTTTTTTGTTGATTAGTCGCCGGGGTGTTTGGGTAATAGACAGCAACTGATAAAGAGACGTATAAAGCACAAGTTGATAGAAGTCTAGTGTCCGGGCAAATGTAATTTAACTGTGATTTAATGGCAGCAGATGTCGTGCAGCGCGTTCAAATTTCAACAATGTGTATTTCACGCGCGCTGTTTGCGTCGCTTGGGGTCCATGTCGAACGCGACGGGCGCGCCAACCGTCGCCCATTGAAGTGCTACAGTCGTCACGCGTATCCAAATTTCGAGTAAACAACGTAATTTACACGCGTTGTACTGTATACGTCGCTGTGAGTCCCATATCGAGCAGGATGCGGCGCGATGAAGTGCTTAACATTACAACTAAAATGCAAAATAAAATATTTAAAGGGCGGCAGTCGTCGTGCCGCGTCCTGTTCGATATGGGACTCATAGCGACGTATACAACGCGTGTAAAATACATTGTTTATAAACATGAAATTCGAACACGCGCTGCGCGAAGACTACGGCGCTTTAAAGAGTGGACTATAGTATTCCATGAATTCATATATTTGTTTACAGGCAAAAATGTGCACTGTCAAAGTGTGCTGAATCGTCAGCATGGGTGTTGTGTTCCAAAATAAATACACATGGGGGTAAAATTTAAATGAATTATTTGAACAAATAAATACTCACCCAGTTGTATCGTGGTGTTCATATGTCTGTACATTTTGGTATTTACTCCCCCTGTAGGACTATGCAGAGACCTGATTTAGTTTTGGGGTAAATAATTATCTAATTTGCATAACTAACCTATTTTCAACTTTACTTTCAATAACATTTGGTACATAAATGCTGTAAGACAATAGACAGACCTGATTAATTAACATCTGTACATATTAATTACCTAATTTGCATAATTAAATCAATTTTAAGTTTTCACACTGATATCTACTACTAATTATTCAATTTGTCAATGTGCAAACCTGATTAGTTTGGGGTTAAAATCTATTATTTCCATAATTAGCATAAACATTTATAATTTTTTGGTTCTAATCACATTTCAATGAAACTTGGTACATAGATGATCTGTTACATTGTCTCTTGCCTCCAATACTCTCAGAAAACGGGAGTTCTTTGATCTTATAATGAATGCTCTTGTGGAGCATATCTTTGTCTTCTCAGGTCCGATCATGTTCAAACTTCACACTTACATAATTCATCATGTCACATTATGCACATTTATTTGCGATCCAGTTAAGATGGACGAATGACGTAATTTTCACTCAAGTTTTGATTCACAATACCTGAGTAATTTCAGTTTTGTTTACTATTGCACGACAGGGACTATGTCATATGAATGACTTGTTACACTTCATAGTATTCTATGTCAACCATTTCTATACGGTTATAACAAAGCCTGATCTTAATAAGACATTTCTGTCTCCCGGGTATAACCAAAGATTAAATACTATATGCGTGCACTTGGCAGCTAATCCACGTGGTAGGAAGTGTTAGATAGAGATTGCATTGGATTTGGATTTATCTGGTGTATATTCAGTTCTATGGGATGTCATTACAGGTCTGACCATCATTTATCACAAAGTGTTGTCATTCAGGTGTTTATATTTGTTAAATCAATGATTATTTTGAACATATGGACTTGTACACATGCCGGAAAGATTACCCCAAGTGTCTACCCCCTAGGGTCAACACATTGACAATCTCTTTAATATACAAGTAATTTACTATTTCACATGGCATTTCCAATTCAAATCCAAGTTTCACTACATCGTGGTTATATAGAAACTGTTATTTTGTTGTTTGAATCATTGCATCAGTGTGTCATTACAAGATGTAACATGTTAAGTTGTTGAACATTAAAATGAATTTGAACAATCGACACCCGTATATCATACACGGTGAACTCATGGAAGCTGATAACATAGAAAAGTAAAATAATAAAATAATTGACCACAAGAAACAAGTACTGCGTCAGTGCATGCGCGAGTTGAACCGACGCGTCCTCTGATCTGACTGTACAGATGGTAGAAACCCGGGGGCCACTCAGGTAAAAGTTGCACACCCAGCCTTGAAAATTGTGATTTAAACGTGGAGCATAGAACTAAACAGAAGACCTCAATGCAAACATGGATTTTCTGAAAATTCCCTTCTAAAACACGTTTCTTGGGCGCCCTTTCAAGTGTTATGCTAATGTTATACGCTAAATATTGTAGCTCAGAAATTTATACTTCCCATCGTTCATTTATTACAATGCTACTTCTAAAATGCACAAATCGTCACGGTGTAACTTATCTCAGCAATTTTTTTCTTTTCTTTCAAGGTCTCGTAAATATTTTTTTGTGAAGCCCCACCCCTCCTAACATTTCAGTATTAATCTGATTAACATATAACAACGAATAATGTAAAAGCACTTATTTTCTCTAACATTTAATTTCGCTATTTTAATATATATATTCATCGGGTTTCAAGTTCACGAATTTGCCAATGAAACAATGAGTTATACATTTTAGCGAAAGTAAACCCCAGTGAATAATTAATACATTTACAGTAATACTGAGGTATAATTGTAATCTCATAGTAGCTGCTTACATATATTCATATATTTGGTGCCATTCACTTGCTCAGTATAATATCATGAATATGTTCAGTCTAATGTGTTACTATAAAATATTTTATTTACGCTGAAGCAATGATTCAGTGAAAATAAAATGCAGCAAATATAATTTTTTTCTATATTTTTCATTCAACACGTCAAATATAAGTGAACATAAATTATTTAAAAAAAACAACCTAAAAGTCTTTTCAGCGAAATTTAATTCCAGTTAAAATAAAGTATTTTACAGTACATCAAGATTTATAAAAATTTGTGTATTTTGTAATCTTAGTAAATAGTTGGTGTACAAATCAGTAATTGCGTCCATTTTGCAACTTTTCTTGCTATGGTACGTTCGCCGTACATTTCGACGAGTGGGGACGCACTTTGTTGAAATGATGCTTTCATCGATTTCTATAGAAAACTTCCCCAAACTAGAATTATTTCCATAATATTTAGCCCATTGTTTTCAAAATACAATATGTTGAACACCAATTTTCACAAATTATGAAAGGTTGAAATTATAATCTGTTGTGAATTCTGTATTTTGATATACGGACTGTGATAGTCACATGTAGTAATCAACAAGTGTTTCCCTGGAAATGGGCGGTGTAATCATTTCACTGTCGAGCATGTCATATCACGGCAGTGGATCGATCGACGTGACCATAATGGAATTGTCAGAAGCGATTACGTTAATAATAGTAACGTTTGCATCATCAATCGGGGGCATACAATTGTTAACGCGATATATTAGCCGAATTTATTCACAATGCTTAATCTTAATTGGCAAATTAGAGAGACAGCTTGCCAGTCCGATGATTATTTTGTCACCGCGATAGTATAACAGGAGATGACTTCTATTTGTAGTAATTTGACAATTATTGCATATCTTAAAAGTTGATCATGAGACACTCGGTGGCGATGGCAGAATTGGAAAACAAATTTGCACAGGAAAAAAAAACTTGAAAAATCATGGAAAAACCTGGAGGGATTAATAACAGAAAAACGATACTTTGAAATTATGGAAAATAGAGTTAGTAGAAAACTAAATGAAGGAAAACAATATTTTGAACAGTTTTTCTTCTATCGCCGGCCCACTATAAGTTTCTATTGGTCCCTCCCTTAGCGTGTCTACAAGCCACCAATTTAAATGACATGCGAGACTTATGCTATCATTCCTTTTAAACTGGTTTCATTAAACACCCTGGGTTCGTTAAATCGGGACTGGTATTTTAAACATTATGTCACACTTATTAGTCTTCTCATCTTGCTCCAATTGTGATTGCATTTTCAATACGTCTTGTGACTTTTATTTATTATAGCTTGGCTCTTGGTTCTACCGTATTCATTTTTTTTATTCTCCTATATAATAAAATTTAATTAAAATATACGTCATTCACCATAACACCCGAGAGCTCATAATTCACGGCAATGTCGGTAATGCACTGTATGTAAAACCGTTGCATATGTTGGCAAAATAACGAAGCCGGTCACTAAATTACTTTAAAAAGTAATTTACAATGACCCGTAAAATAAAAAAAAATGTTCCGTGTATGTCTGAATTGATTGCCGATCTAATACCCTTGTGTGATGGTGAAATGGGGCATCGATGCCAGCAATTTTCTTAAAACCTCATTCCAAAAACGTTGTTTCAATTCAGTGACGTTAACACTGCCGATGATTCAGAAGCAAGTGCCAGCCGTCTGTACGTGACTTCTGAAAGGAAGAAGGAGATTGGATTTCTTTAATCAAAGTTTGAATCCCTCAAAGAGGAGATCTCTTCTGAATGACCATTGTTATTGTAAAAAGTACTAGACAGGCACAACGTCACGATATTTTTTTTCAACATATTTGGTTGAGGTTTAAAATCGAGACGATTCCGCGTTGGCGTTTATTCCAGCGATATGGCTCCCTGAAGTGAAAAAAAAGGAGAAGCTATTCAATTCGTAACGTTGTCATTTGTGGTACGTCTGTTTTCTTCACGTGAGAACACATATTCCATGAAACCTGTCCATACATTTATTTCTACGTTCAGTCAACTCTTTAAAATAAAATAAAAACGTCAGTTTTTTTCAAAATATGACCGATTATTAATTAAAATGTTTAATACTATTTTTTTATATTCCAAAAATAAACTAGTTTTCAAAGTAATTGTTTGATATATCAGAAGTTCATTTCCTGTGAAATTGGCGTTGTCCTAGTTTACACGCTTGAGTGAGTGTCTTTCAATGCAAGAGAGGTCCACATGCGGCCAATGTCTTCCAGTTGGTTGAAAAACTCAGTTGACCCAGCCCCCGCAGCACCACCCTGGTATTGTGTATATCCAAAGGTGTCAAATTACAGACTGAGTGTCGCCTAACTCATGACGTCACAGTACTTCTGCGCATCGGCGCCGAGACAGGCTGGCGGATTACAACTGCACTACATCTTTACAAGTCCGCGGCCAATACATCAGTTTAATCACCGCACTGGTGCAAACTGTTTTATCGCATAAACTGAAAAACTGGTGATAGTGTTAAAGATCTATTGAGAAGTAGGTTGCGTACGAGCAGTGTCTGTAAAAAATCGAACCAACGCCAATTGAAATAGAAATATAACTAATTACCCGCGGAATAATCCGCCAATTGCTATGATAGTAAATTGGTTGTTCGCCTAAGTGTCGCCAGTAGTTGTGAAAACCTCAAGACTGGAATTTTTCATGGAAAAGCATCTTGCACACTTTTCTACAACTCGATCGTTGTAGTTTACTCATCAGAGGCGACCCGAGTGTCACTGCCAAACACGGGTGAGTTTTTCCTTTATTATTGGGAAGTGTTTACGACTGTTTCCTCCCCAAATGATGTCTCTTTGAATGACCGTAGTCGACGCCATGTTGACTAATCGGAGTTGCTATTCATACGAGCCTGTCTATCCGAATGCCTCCAGCTGAAAACCACGTTTGTACGCTAGGTCGTTGATGATTTTGGCGTCCTACCCTTGTTGATGGTAGATCATGAAACTCAGCGTCACTTGCATTTTTGACTGATTTGGCGGGGTAACCCGTAAAATTGAGCATATCATCGTATCAAGCAGCAGATTGCATGTGTTACGGGGTAAAGTTCTGTTGAATGGCGGCCATGTTGGACTGGTCGATACTTCCGACTCAGTGTGGTTTCCGCTGTGTTTATGCTATTGTTTTCAATTCATTCCATTCCAACATCGACTGAATAAGTCCACGTGTGTCACAGTAAAACTTAACGTAAATTCGGCTTTTGAGGCGGAGATTGCAACAATAACTCTGTCCGTCAAGTTCAGTTTCATATTTGTAAACAACATTTGAAATTTCAGGTCTACGCAATCCTCTCGTCTGCACTGTATTTGTTACGGTACTGAATTACACATGCTTTGCAATATTCATGGAAAATCTCGGTTGATAAGCTGAAATAGGAGACATCTAGACTTGTCAATTTAAACAATTAATTTTGCTTTCTTTTATAGAGTTACCACTGACCCGCGTGATATTCTGTTGCTAAATCCCTGGGATCTCATTAACTTATATTCGATGCAGCAAATTTTTGTTTGCTGATAACTCCTGGTGAATGTCTTTAACAAATTAGCAAAAATGACCATGGCAAGTCTGTTATCGTTCACCAACCCTGCGGTGAAGCGACTGCTAGGGTGGAAACAGGGAGATGAGGAAGAGAAATGGGCTGAAAAAGCTGTGGATTCGCTTGTGAAAAAGCTTAAGAAAAAGAAAGGTTCAATGGAGGAACTTGAAAGAGCTCTGAGCCGTCCAGGAGAGGCCAGCAGATGCGTGACTATTCCTCGTTCTTTAGATGGAAGACTGCAAGTATCGCACAGGAAAGGTTTGCCACATGTTATATACTGTCGGGTTTGGAGATGGCCTGATCTCCAAAGCCACCACGAATTGAAGGCTTTAGATCACTGTGAGTACGCATTCGGAACAAAACAAAAAGAGGTCTGCATCAACCCATATCACTACAAGAGAGTTGAAAGTCCAGGTAATGTTCAATCGAGTGTTGATGGATTATTTGTAAATTTTCCACCACTGTGTGTGTACATACACATTCTGATACATA